GATAGCTTCCTCACATGAAAGAATCCAAAGTTCCTGTCGGGACTCAAACTCACAGCGGTGAGGGGCAAGTGGTATTAGAATATGTAAGATGTTTAGAAGTATTGAGATAAATATGAATGATGTACATGTTTTTAGTGCTAAGAGAATAGTTGAAATGGTCTAGAACAAGTTACGGTCAGTTGAATTAGATAAGTGGAAACAGTCACTAAATAGGAATGATTCCAATAGAAATACTGGTGGTAATAAACTAAGAACATATAGTTTGTTTAAAGAAAATCCTGTTGTTGAAAAATACCTCCAGTACAATTTACCCTTCCATCATAGAAGTTCTTTGACAAAATTTCGTTGTGGTTTTCGCTTATCCGGTTAGAGACAGGCCGTTATGAGAATCTGCATGTAAATGATAGAATATGTTTTAATTGTACCACAAATGTTGAGGATGAGATTCATGTAATTTTACACTACCCAGTATATATAATGATATCAGAGAAGATTTGTTGATGAAAACACGCCAAATTAATAATGCATTTGATACACTGTCTGACACGGAAAAGTTATGTTATCTACTAAACTACTTTGAAATTGTTAAATATTCTGCCAAAGCCTGCTACTTAGACGTTTAATGCTGTATAGGAAATAATTTTCACTTTAACTTTAACTAATCTAGTCATTAGTTGAATTGTATTTTGTTTTGTTTTGTTTTTTTTACTTACTTAATTTTACATGTTTTTTTACATGTTTATAACAATCCAAATTGTTGTAAATACATGTATATAAGGACAACAAGTTTGAGTATGGTGCTTTTATAGTGCTTTTATAAAGATATTTTTTATTAATAATAGGTTAAAATAGGAACATTGCTATTGATATAGAAAACAGGAATGAAAAATTGTATGGATTTAATTTAATGCCTATGTGGTATAATATTTATCTTGCCAATTTAAAAGCAGCCTGGAACTTTCAGGTGTACAGACTCCTACAATGTATTGTAATAAAAAAATTAATCATCATGAATTTTATATCTAACTTTTAAGGGTATTAGCTAAACGATTTTATGAATTTAAAAGTATTAATACACAGGATTAGCTCAGACAATTATTGTCATAGTATTATAATAAACAGACAGATAGGCACAAATTTGACCTCTTTGGCCATATAATTCATGTAAGATTGTGTCTAAATATTATTTTTTTTAATTATTGAAAAGTAGATATTTTAGAGATTATTTTAATAATTTTACAGTCTCTTATAACTCCTTATGTAGGAGTGGCTTTGTGTTGTGTAAAAATTTGTATTTTATTTCTTAAATATATGTAAAGATGCACAAAGATGAGACTTTAATAAAATATTTGAGTTGAGTTGAGGTGATAAATACAGCAACATTAGTCATTATTGGCATGTAGCATGTAAATTATTTCTTGAATTGTGAATATTGTACTTTTCTGAAACCTTAGTAATTTTTTTCTCAATATACATGTTATTATTTTATTAAATATTTCAGCTCATCTGGAGGCATGAAGCTTTAAGATGTTATTTCAATGTTGACAATTTGTCTATTTTTTAATACTAGTATTGCAAGCGTATCATTGGAATTAAAGTTGATGTTAGATAAATACACACAGTTTACAAATACTTACATGTTGCTTACCTATATAGAATAGAATATATATAAATATATATAAATAGATCCTTCTGCATGGAAAACCAGATTATTCTTGACACTAAAAAACATATGTAAATCGTACTTTTGACATCTTATGTTATTAGACGACACTGGCGTTTCACAATATACAATCTGTGTCTACGAATTTATAAAACAGAGCGAAATTTGTTAAACATAATATTCTCTTCACAAAACTGGAATTTCTTTCATAAAAGTACATGCTGTCTTTGGAATCCCAACTTTAAAAAAATGCTATGGTCACGCATAAACAAAGAGGGTTCATGTTTCACTTATTTCCACTGAAGTTAGTTATATTTCATGTACAAACACACTAGTTACATCCTTATGGCGTCATGCCATCGAAACAAGTTGTTTATTTTTTTAAAAAAAACTTATATCAGCATATGCTAGTTTTAACAATATAACTGCAAATCAGCTCTTACCCGGCAGTAATTAGTGTCGCCGCTTTTTCATGAAGAAACCAGTGCTGATAGTGAAAATTGTGATTGGCATATTTTAACTAGCCAGGTCAGGTGTTTCTAAAAAGGCTGATAACACTGTAGCAATGTGAGGATACATTCAAATTTATTACATAGATAATGCACGTGGAGCTCAGCTCGTAGAGACAAATGAGAACACAGTGACTTTTTGATATCCTTTTTTACTCTAAGAAAAATGTCAATTATTCATTGCTGACTGTTTATATTTTCTAGAAAAAGTAAGCAAAACATTATTTTGTTTCATGTGACAGGAATGAATTGCATTAACAGTCCTAGGTATTGTTGAAAACTCATTGTTTTACATGCCAGATTAAGTAATTGGACCCCATCCTTGTTTGTACGTGACTGCTGGGGGAAAATAATGTTATGCTTAATTAAAGAGGTGACACTTTCTATATTTTTATCTGATATCGAGTTGTAAGAGCCGATTTGCAGTTATATTGGTAAGAGTTCGATAAGACTCCCTACGGTCGTCTGAATACGAACTCCTACCCATACATATAGGTGCATATAAATAATATGCATGCACATTCTTTGTAGTACCGATTTTTATAGTTAAACCTTACTTTCAAATAGATAAAGCGTAATGTAGTACTTTTTGTCAAACTAAATAAATGGTAGGAGTGTAACTTTAGAAAAATCAACTAAATGTTAATTAAAGGAGAAACGTCTTTTTTTGTTGTTTTTTTTTTTTTTTGCTGTTTTAATTATGATTTAAACATAACAATGTTGTAATATCAGATATATAAACTCGTTTATAAATACATACATATAGCGAATAAGGACAGTAGATTATATTTTCTTTACATTTCATTTTGTGTGGTCTTAAATGGTATTAAGCTTGTGAATTCTTTATGAATTTGTGATAGTGAATTCCAAAAACGTACAGTTCATTACGTTCGTTTAAGTGTAACTTAAAGCAGTAATGTACTTTTTTCTATAATTTATGAACTGCAAAATTACCTTTTTTTCAATGATTTTATAATCAGTTCTAAAAAGGGTTGTAACAAAGAATGTTCTGTTATGCAACACAAATGAGTCGCGTCACGACAAAACCAACATAATGCGTTTGCGACCAGCATGGATCCAGACCAGCCTGCGCATCCGCGCTGTCTGAGCTGGATCCATGCTGTTCGCTAACCAACTCTATAACAAGCAGAGAACCCGATAGCGAACAGCATGGATCTTGATCAGACTGCGCGGATGCTGGTCGCAAACGCACTATGTTGGTTTTGTCGTGACACGGCTCATTAATGAATAATGTAGATATGTGGAAACAGAATAAAATGTTCCGGAACAAAATATAAATATGCTATTTTACAAAATGCAATGATTTCGTAATTATAAAAAAATAAATTTCACTCTTAAAGTTTTTTTTGAAAGTATGTGTTCTGCAGTGAAAATATAGATATTATTATGAAATTATTGATATTTTAAATATATTTATTTAGTATAGAAATATTATTCAGTCTAAATTATTGTTATATTAGTCAATATTAATGGTCAATTAGAATCAAACATGTATATAACAAACTGTTTACAACTTGACCACTTGTTCTTCATACTTATGTGACATGTAGACTAATTCAAGTAACAACTTTATTGTTTCAAAAACATTAATTTGACATTTATTTGTCTGTAGAATTTGTACATACTGTGTCTACATCTCATTGTATATCCTCGGGCATATAAAAAAAACAATGGTTCATTCAATACAGTATCTGATGAAAATCTTTGAGAATTTGTTGTTGTTTTATAACAATAATTTAGACTGAATAATATTTCTATACTAAATAAATATATTTATAATATCAATAATTTCATAATAATATCTATATTTTCACTGCAGAACATATGCATTCAAAATGCAAATAATGTTTTTTTTTTCTAAAGAACAGGGAAATGATTTACAGCTTCTTTTTAAACACTTAAACAGAATATTTTACTGCTATTTTAGTTGCTTGAGCAGTGAATTATTATGGCACTAGTTATAACAATTAAAAGGGTCAATAATTTTCGGGAGTAAAAGATAAGAAACCAATCTAGTGAACATATATTAATAATTTATTTATTTCTTACTTTGGTAAATTCTATACAAAATAACGAATATCAACATTGAATGCCCATATGTAGTAGAAAATAATGACCTTTAGATATAAAATATTTATATATTCAAGTTAACCTAATTACGTTTACAAATTACGATGAAAATCTATAAAATTAACAAAATAGAACATTAAAGGTCGCCTCACTAAGCCCTTATTCTTATATTAAACATTCTGAGGAAGGCCCCCTCAAATAAGGAGCAATTACATGTATTTAGATTAATATAATTAACTAACTTACTGTTCTAGAGATACAAAGAAAAATGAAATATCTCTCAAGCCAACTAGCACCAGATTAAGAGAACTCAATAATCAAAGGATAAAAACTTGATTTGAAGTTCAGCAGCAATATTTTAAATTAACATGTTTACACATTGTTTTACACATAATGGCACGAATAGCTTGAGCATGTTGAAAGAACACGAAATATATATTTGCTTTTACGGTAAAATTCAACAGCAAAGTTGCTGATGATTAAGAATATGTGACAATTTTAAGTTTCTCTTTGGCACAACATACTACTAATACTACTACTTATAATAATGAGCCGCGCAATGACAAAACCAACAGAATGCGTTTGCGACCAGCATGGATCCAGACCAGATGGGCATACACTCATTCTGATCAGTATCCATGCTGTTCGCTTACAAACACTATAACAAGTAGAGAAACTGATAGCAAACAGCAAACAGCAAGGACCCTGATCAGACTGCGAAGATGCGCAGGCTGACCTGGATCCATGCTGGTCGCAGACGCATTATGTTGGTTTCGTTATGGCGCGGCTCATAATACTTCTTTAAGCATGGAAACTGTCACAAAAGAAAAGATACAAAATCTATCATATCTAATCACACAGTATCTATATATGGAGATTCAAAACCAAATATATTATGCATATGATTTGTATAATTATGTGGAGTAATTGAAAGATCTACATTTTGTTTCAGTTTGAGCTAAGCAGAAAGTTTGAAAATTATATACAGTGTACACAGAATACATTATACTGAAAATGTAGAACTGCAAAGTCTATAAGTTTTTATGTGGCTTTTACTCTTCGTTTCAGGACTGATTTGTTTCCTGAACACATCCTTACACAATTCCTTCATTGTCTACAGTCTGTACAGATGTAGAAAGCTCACCACGAGCATATCTTTCACCCATGTATGGCACAATATCGCTCTTTAAAGCACCATTAACCTTATCAGTTTTTGTCAGATTGTTTATAAATGACATTAGTTTTTCGCTCATGAGCTTCTCCTCACATTTGTCTAATGCCTCAACAATACTTTGCATTGTGGCATTAGGGTTCCTCTGTTTCCAGTTATTCATTAGTCTGTACATTTCCTCTTTGATATCATGGTGCCATTCTTGGCGAGTGTTCTCAATATCAGCTTGAACATTTGATAACGGTTTGCTATCTGTGTCCGCTAAAAATTAAAAACATTACATATTTAATGTATTGCAAATAATTCAAAACCCATTTTATAGACCTATGTGTCCTTTTTATTTATTAACACCTAATGTGCATGAATCAGCATTCACACTAGTATGTATGATTCATTATCATACTAAGTTATACGTATGGATAATTCTTTTTAGTATTACATACTCTATTTATGACGTAGGAAAATGTATTACAAATTTCTTTAAACTAGTAAAATTTAATTTAATTCTATATCAGAATAAATCTATAAAATTATAATGATATATTAATGTTATATATCCATCATCTATGTACTCATAGCTGAATTTATTCAGATGTCAAGCCGTTTGGCCGGATGTTTTCATTACTACTTAATTATAGTGTATTTGTAACATATTGCATATGTCACTATAAAAACATATTCACTTACTTACTAACAAGTGATAAAGCAATGGTTAAAACGACTTAAAATCCAAATCAATGTGTATTTAATTATGTTTTTCCGCTTCAAAGTTTTTATGATATTACTTGTCACGTATTTTGATACTATTTTGCATGCCATGGAGTTGTGTTTGTATTGGTATCAACAAAAGAGTTTTAATTTAATTTTGACTCTGAAACAAGTCTTCAGAAGCATTTTTATAAGACATGATTATATGGAGTTACTCCAATAGTTAGTTACCTATAAGCCGCCTGTAGAACTTCAAAAACGTGTTCCATGAGAATTGTTTAGATATGAAGGTAAACACTTCATAACAATCTAAACGGTAAAAAAAACAACAAAGAAAACACAAATTATTTTCTGTACAAATCTTATGAGCACGTTGCAGATATAAAACTTGAAAGTAGAAAATAATGCATGTACAGGAAAATAATAAACCAAGACGTATAAATTTATAGGTTTCGGTTAAGAAACTTCCATTAGTATTTGTGCTGAGTTTATACGTAACTTGAATCTTTTCATGTCGTTGAACGCCTATTTGTATTCTATTAGAACTGTATGTACATTAATACATTGTAATAAATTCGTGTTTGGAATAAGTTTTCTAATAAATTGTTGAAATTTTACAATTACAATAAAAGGTTTTTCTGCATTTCGCCGCGTTTGTTAAGTACATGTACAGTATATAAACAGTGTCGTGGCTTCCTTAAGGTCTTGTACACGTATGCCGCGGCATTCATTTCTTTGTCCAAGAAAATGAAAATATGAACATTGCATATATTACCTGAAAGTTCTAATAAAGCCCTGACAATAATCGATACATTAAATATACGCCAAATCCCACTGAAAACATATTAAGGATATATGCCTCAGACCCCAAAAGAAGTTGGCCTTCCAATAAATTCATACCAAGCTACAATAAATGGTTTCAATAGGTTCGCCTTGAGGAAGTATTTTGTAAATGATATAAATAACCTACGTTTATCAGACGAAACTGTCCCGTTCCCATTATCAGATTGTCCAGTACCGTCTGACTGAACTGAAGTTACAGCTCCCAATGAAGGGGTACACCCAGTTTCAACCGTATTGATATGATCAGTTGCATTTGTATTACTCTGAAAGACAAGATAACGTGAATAAACAAATACGATGTGAAAATGAAACAATTTTTAAACTTTTTAATAAGCGATTAACAAATGATTTCCAAGGACAGATACAGCACAGGTTCGTGTTTTTTTTTTAATTTAAAGGTTCTAATTGAATATGACCAGAGTATAATCTGTAATTTTGTGCCTGATAAGACCTGAAAGTTCCTTTTAACGTGTGGCAATACTGAATGCCAGGAATGTTCGTAAAGAAAAAAAATATATATAAATATTTACTATATTATCTCTAGCACTTTGCAATGATGACGTCTCTGGTTGAACATGTCTCGAGGGAACACCTGCAGCATCTAATTCTATGCTCGTGTGGGATAGAGTTCCATTAGCTTTGCTATCGTCGTTGTTTATGGCGCCGATTTCATTTACATCATGACCCTCAGTTTTAGATATGTTACTGCCATTGTTTAACGATATTTGTTTAGAAACGCCTTCATCTTGCACTTCATTACTGGACATTGGCTTATTATTCGTGTCATTTCTGACATCTATTGTATGGTTGAAACCGTTTTGTTGTAGACTTGTCAAATCTGGACTACGTCTGTCCGAGTTTATGGCGGATTTGCTATCTGAAGGAATGTTTACACGTCCATTACTAAAGGTGCTTGACATCTGAGCTCTGCCATTGCCAGTATTATGGTTTTGATTTCGTCTAGTGGGTAAAATAAAAAGGAAAAGTACATGCATTACACTTGTTACTTCATTTCTTTTACATCGCTTACAACTTTCATGTACAAAATGAATATTTTGGTCGGCACATGTAATAATGCACATTAATCAAAAGGCAAAATCAAATACAATATACCTTCAATGCCAAAAAAATAAAGGCACATTATGCCTTAGAAAAGAATGACTTTTCATTCCTTTAAGTGAAGTTCATAACGTTTAAATAATGGTTTTAGAGCATGTTTGAAGAATATAGTCCTGAAAAGTAACAAAATGTAAACAAATACATGTATATGTAAGTATTTTGACTTCCATACAAAACACTTATTGACTCTAACTTAAATTATTGTCAAATGGCAATAGAAGCAAAATGTAGTTCAGGTAGAATCTTTAACGGAACACAAAAAAAGAAACTTTTTTGAGAAACATTTAAGCATTTATGGGCATAAATTGCCTTTTATATAATCATATCAATAACAACGAGAACTGTGCATGTGATTAACTTCCTCGAACAAATATTACGTTGAAGTGACCAAAAAGGTTAATGCACTTCAAATGAACTGTTCCAAATTTAAAGCTAGGCAAAAGCCTGTTCACTAATTGAGCAAGTTTATTACTGTATTATTTCGATTTTACTTTACCTGTGTCTGATACAGAGGAAAACGACGCCGACGACGACAAAGAAGAAACCACCAACAACTACAACTGGTATCACCCAGGAATAATTATCACTATCAGCTATCATACACCATGTAAAAATATCATGTAAGATTCATCATGTAAATAAAATATGCAGATAAAATAAATTATGCAAATGAAATGTACAGACAAAATCAAGGAAAATATTATTAAATTATTAACATTTAAAAAGTTATGATGATCTCATGCATTACACTTAACAAAATGCCCAAATAAGCTAAACAAGCATAACTATATAAACAAAAAACCCAGTGTATTATTTTACCACAACGCACTCACAGTATTCCTATTGTACATGTATATACAATGTTACAATCGGAACACCTCGGGCGACTTCAAGAATTCGAAAAACTTGACGGAGATTGCCGAGTTGTTACGATTGTACAATGTTATAGCAATCATGCATTGCTTATACTAGTCTATGGATACCCACGGTTGATTAACATGTAACATGATAAATGTTACTGGTTCGGCCGTGGGTATAGGACGATGACTCATACCATGCTGTACATGTGAATAATAAATAGACTGTAGTATAAAAGTGAAATATCATATCGCAAATAACGAAATGAAGGAAAACAAAACTACATTATACCGAAGCTAATGAAAAGACATGCTCTAACTTATGGAGAAATAAACACAGATTATATGAATGTAACAAAGAAAACAGTTTTGATCATAGAAAACACCAGACAAATTAAAAAGATTACTATAAAACAACCTTCGGGAGTGTTCGTCGTGCCTTCCGGTTTGCTGCCACAAACGGTATCATGGATATTGTTACAGCTTATTTGCGTTATATTGCAGACAGAGCATGGCGTGCATTCGTTATATGAAGTCAAATTGGAATATGATGTGCCGTTTTTGCATGGCTCGCATATTGTATCTTCATATGGTGTTCCTTTTCAAAGAAAAAGGCATAGATTTATAAAGGTAATTACTAGAAGGTATACAATTACACGTACACCTACATATACATATACATGCACAGTGCGTTAACTGGAGTGCAGACTAGTTACTTGCACTCCAGAGCATGCCCATTGATTGGTTTATTTTTTGCTAAAGTTTACTTATTGTGACGGCAGAGAAAGGGACAGTGACAGAAATATCATATTCAGATGCTCGTTCATTGGTTACTTTTCCATGGGGTTTCATATTATGACAACAGGGAACGTGATTTTATGCTGGACAAAAGAGAAAGAACATCAAAACCCGCGGCAATCTGATTAATACTCGGGGGATGGGGTCGGGGGGTACCATCGAACAAATCATATAGCCTCGTGTGTCGATGCTCTTTCTATTATTTTGTATTCATTTCTTCACTACTTCAAAACGGAAACCTTACAGGCCTATTTAGCTCAGAATTTTATGATATTTTCGATTTGTTATTTCCATGTAATGCATTTCTGACGCTCAATGTGCCTTTTATAAAAACTTTGTGTACTAGAACTAAACATATTCCCAAGTCCACCATGCCTGTAGACTTTCAATCAAGTAACACTATTTGTTTTTTCATAATCACACACACCGACAGGTATAATTCAAAAGAAATTCTTTTTAAAACCAGATTGTCATATAAAGTAATAACTAAATGAATTCATCTCTTGTCAGTCATTTACTATACATCATATTATATGTCAAATGAAAAAAATCGTCAAAGAACTATTATACCTTTTGTCTTTAATCCTTCTCCAGGGTTGCATTTCCTATGCTTTGTACAAATTCGATGATGGGCCGGTTTCCAATAATAACCATCTAGGCACTGGCATTTTAGGTTGCTGGTTTTTGTGCATGGTTTAATTTCAACGTGTCCTCCATGACAAAACAGATCACACAGATTACACTGTGTCGAATTATCACAAGTGGGGAGATATTCCCCGTACCCACAAGGTCTACATCTTGACTGTTCCCCGTCTATCACACAATCCGAAACTATATAATATCCCGCACTGCATGGGTAACACCGGTGACCATTTTTAGCAAGATATGTTTCACCACATGGTACAGTTACACCAAAAACGGTGATCAAATATGTCAAAAGTATGATCGGCCCTAAATAGTCCGACCTCATACCATTTACATGAATAAACTATATAGTTCGTATAAAGCTTTCATGGTACATACAAAAGGAAACTCAGTGTATGTATGACTTATGAGCATTCATTACTGATTGTCTGTTTGGTGCATTTTCAGTAGAAATTCTCTTCTTTCTTTTTGTCACTGGATAAAAGCAAAATATGAGCAACGTGAAAAATATTGAACAAGTACAAAAATATACCATTTTACGGGGAAGTCAATGACCGGGACCGCGAAACGGGCCAGGGTTTTGGCCTGTCCGGCTTTAGACTTCACGTTTATATTAAAAATGATTTTTTTTTAAAAATCCAAAATATATAGAATTCTTTACCTATCATTGAAATTTTTTAAGTTTCATTTCTAGTTGGGCACTGCCATTTTAAATGATAAACGTCAGGGTAGTCCGATCATTGAATAGTCGCAACTTTCCGGCTTATGAATAATCGCCGAGGATCTCGAATTTAAAACGGAAGCGGTACATTTAAACGAAAAATGTAAAATAAGAATAATTGAACTAAATGCCCGGTTCATTGGCTTTGCCTACTTTCATATTAGTTTTAACAATTTTATTCAAAAGTGGGACTATATATCTACAAGTACTTATTTCAACTTAATTAAGTATAAAACGTAATAATAAAAAGTACTAATTTACCTTTAGATCTATAAAAAATATCTACCTCACTGCAGGAAAACCAGTTTTAAATACATGTATACAGTATACATTATTCGATCATTCGATATTATTATAAACTAAATCTCACATGATTTCGCTATATACTCTGATCTTGACACGAAGTCCTCGTAAGTCGTTTGTGTTATCAATTGAATAATTTGAATATTTCGTTAGCTTTGGAAATTAAATTACACTGTTCCATCACCCATTAGTACTTTCTCCCTTGAAAGAAGGTATAACATCCGGAAAACTTTACCTGACGATTGGCGGAAAGAGCCGAACATTTATGATTGACAGGTATATGTCTACATGCGTAATATATGTAGGCTGATTGTGCCATTCGTGTTTTCGCTCCGCGACCCCGCCAAGCGAAAAGTCGAGAATTAACAAGTTAAAACGGCGGGGTCGGAGCGAAAACACGCTAATATTTGAGGGCGCGGGGCGAAGTTTATTCCCCGCGGCGGCTTGACAAGATTTAAGAAATAATACGGCGGGGCGTGGAGCGAAAACACGCTAATGAGCAGGAAACGCTAATAAGCGTGTTTTCGATACGCTATCCCCCCCCCCCCCATTTTAACTTTAATTATCGGCTTTTCGCTTGGCGGGATCGCGCCATTTTATTTCTTTAATCCCACTATGCGCCCCGCGGGACCAAGTTTTATTTATTAAACTTAGCCCCGCGCCGTCGCTAATTACCGTGTTTTCGCTCCGCGCTACGCCATTTTAACTTGTTAATTATTGACTTTTTGCTTGGCGGAGTCGCGGGGCGAAAACCCGAATGGCACAAATCAGCAACCATAGTTATACCAGGTTTCCCAATTATAAATTTACGTGGGTGTGGTAATTACTTAAAATTAGTACACGTAACTCTTATCAAGTTTTGACTAGGGCCTGTCAAATTTAAAAGAGCCTGATTTGACACATTGGAAAGAAATGATAATATTTTGATTGAAAAAAAAGCAGATTTTATAGATACTCACAATTATGAGAAATTTTATTTATTTTCTGTCATACGATAACATTTATACCCTAGTTTCTATTTCTAAATGGTATAAATCTTATTCAACGATTAAGATTTCTTTCCAATCAAAAAGTACATGTATATGTATACGGATGTAATGGTTAACCATTTCATCGATTAAAATAAAATGCTAAAAAATCAAATTTACACAAAATATTTTAAACCTTCATTTCTATATTGACAAAAGATTACCTTTGATTGTAATAAACATTCCAATCGCTCTAATTGTACATAAATATTATGTAAATAACGCGTAACTATTTATCGTTTTTAATATTGAAATAGTTTTATTTTATGTTTGCTTGTTTTTTATAACTTACATTCAAATTCACATTAAATAAATGCTGGGACGTAAGATCTTATGTCCCAGATAAATGTAAACGTAATAATATAAACGTTTCCAAATTAACGACCAACTATATATAGCACTCAATGATAGTTACGTAACATCTATTTATATAGTCACAAATCGCAACTTTTTGGCCCTTTCCGTTAGTCTTCGGAAAATAAAGAAAGAATACACAGAACGGATACGATATTAAGGTCTTACCTAAATACATGTATGTAGGAGTAAATCAAAAATTAAGAAACTTTACAGATATATAACAACAGTAGATGATTTATATATTTATTAAATTATTATTGTGGTTGCAAAGCCGAAAGTACAAATTGTCTACCTGGTGACATTTATACGCATTTGGTTATAATTGTACATCAGTACATTATGATTATCAGACGTATGGTTAATCATAATTTTACCCACTTGTACATAAAGAACAAGATTATGACCACTTAACCAAAGTTTGACGTTCAAGGTCATTTAAAGCTTACGGCCAAGGTCATCTCAACCTTTCAGGTCTTGTCAATTTGTGTTTGGTATAATTGAAGGTGAAGAAATAAAAGATGTTGAATCTAAATATGAAGTTAATCCATTGATAAAAAAGTTATAGCCAATTACAGAAACAAAAATTGTCAATTAAAGTTTTACCAATTACTTCATGAGCATTTTGTGAAAAATGGCTGTTTCATTGAAAAGTCCCCCGTTACAAGTTCAAAGGTGAAAAGGCGTTAAAGGGCGTGTTTATCGCGTAATGGGTTATGGTTATGGTTAAATAAAATGATATGATAGCAGATTACTGTTCCCGATATCCAGTAAACAATTACTCGCAAGAAAATATAGCGGAAGATTATTTTCATTGCAAATCCCGCAGTTCCCAGTTCATTAAATCTTCAAGACGTGGCAAGTGCTCCAGCCCAAGATTGTGTTTTGACTTGCATTTTATTTCCGCGCATCAAATTAACACGTGGACTAAACAAACGTGTGCCAGTGATGGCAGCTATAACTGTTATCAACAGCTGGCAGCCCCCAGTCAACAGAGCATGGATACGTTCTCCTACGAGGAATACGGCTATGTATCTCGAACAGTCTACAAATCAAAAGTAATTAACCTAGCGCACGAGGGTCACCAACGCTGAAACAAACCAATTAAAGCGCTTTGACGAGAAAATTGCTGGTTCTCGTATCTAGACAAGCTAATTGACGAGCATAGCAAGAATTACATACCATGCATGCCTGTATAACCACAAATGACCCCAGAATCGAGCAAGGCAAGTCTGTTACATACATTTAGCATGTATTGTAATAAAAGAATTTATCATCATGAATTTTATATTTAACTTTTAAGGGTATAAGCTAAACGACTTTATGAATTTTATGAATTTAAAAGTATTAATACACAGGGTTAACTCATGCAATTATTGTCATAGTATTATAATAAACAGACAGATAGGCACAAATTTGACCTCTTTGGCCATATAATTCATGTAAGATTGTGTCTAAATAATGACTTTTTATTATTGAAAAGTAGATATTTTAGAGATTATTTTTGATAGTTTTACAGTCTCTTATAACTCCTTATGTAGGAGTGGCTTTGTGTTGTGTAAAAGTTTTATTTCTTAAATATATGTAAATATGTAACGATGCACAAAGATGAGACTTTAATAAAATATTTGAGTTGAGTTGAGGTGATAAATACTGCAAAATTAGTCATTATTGGCATATAACATGTAAATTATTTCTTGAATTGTGAATATTGTATTTTTCTTAAACCTTAGTATTTTTTTTCTCAATATACATGTAATTGTTTTATTAAATATTTCAGCTCATCTGGAGGCATAAAGCTTTAAGATGTTATTTGACAATTTGTCTATTTTTTGTTAAATACTAGTATTGCAAGTGTACCATTTGTATTTATTATAAGTTACAAAGATGATGTTAGATTAATACACACAGTTTACAAATACTTTCATTTTGCTTACCTATATAGAATAGAATATATATAAAAAGATCCTACTGCATGAAAAAACCGGATTTTTCTTTGTGTAAATCTAACTTTTGACATCTTATGTTATTAGACGACACTGTCGTTTCACAATATACAATCTGCATCTACGAATGTTGGTAAAGAACTTATAAAACAGAGCGAAATTTGTTAAACATAATATTCTCTTCACAAAACTGGATTTTTTTTCATAAAGGTACATGCTGTCTATGGAATCCCAACTTTAAAAAAATGCTATGGTCACGCATAAACAAAGAGGGTTCATGTTTCACTTATTTCCACAGTAGTAAGCTTTATTCCATGTACACGAGTTATATCCTTATTGCATCATGCCATCGAAACAAGTTGTGTATTTTTTTTAAAAAAAACTTACATCAGCATATGCTAGTTTTAACAATATATAGGTGCATATAAATAATATGCATGCACATTCTTTGTAGTACCGATTTTATAGTTATACCTTACTTTCAAATAGATAAAGCGTAATGTAGTACTATTTGTCAAACTAAATAAAGGTAGGAGTGTAATTTTTGAAAAATCAACTAAATGTTAATTAAAGGAGAAACGTTTTTTTTTTTTTTTTTCTTTTTTTTTTTGCTGTTTTAATTATGATTTAAACATAACAATGTTGTAATATCAGATATATAAACTCGTTTATAAATACATACATATAGCGATTAAGGACAGTAGATTATATTTTCTTTACATTTCATTTTGTGAGGTCTTAAATGGTATTAAGCTTGTGAATTCTTTATGAATTTGTGATAGTGATTTCCAAAAACGTACAGTTCATTACGTTCGTTTAAGTGTAACTTAAAGCAGTATCGTACTTTTTTCTATAATTTGTGAACTGCAAAATTACCTTTTTTTCAATGATTTTATAATGAGTTCTAAAAAGGGTTGTAACAAAGAATGTTCTGTTATGCAACACAATTGAGTCGCGTCACGACAAAACCAACATAATGCGTTTGCGACCAGCATGGATCCAGACCAGCCTGCGCATCCGCGCAGTCTGATCAGGATCCATGCTGTTCGCTAACCAACTCTATAACAAGCAGAGAAACCGATAGCGAACAGCATGGATCCTGATCAGACTGCGCGGATGCTGGTCGCAAACGCACTATGTTGGTTTTGTCGTGACACGGCTCATTAATGAATAATGTAGATATGTGGAAACAGAATAAAATGTTCCGGAACAAAATATAAATATGCTATTTTACAAAATGCAATGATTTCGTAATTATAAAAAAAATAAATTTCACTCTTAAAGCTTTTTTGAAAATATGCATTCAAAATGCAAATAATGTTTTTTTTCTAAAGAACAGGGAAATGATTTACAGCTTCTTTTTAAACACTTAAACAGAATATTTTACTGCTATTTTAGTTGCTTGAGCAGTGAATTATTATGACACTAGTTATAACAATTAAAAGGGTCACTAAGTTTTGGGAGAAAGATAAGAAACCACTCTAGTGAACATATATCAATAATTTATTTACTTTTTACTTTGGTAAATTCCATATAAAATAACGAATATCAACATTGAATGCCCATATGTTGTAGAAAATAATGACATTTAGATATAAAATATTTATATAATCAAGTTAACCTAATAACGTTAACAAATTATGATGAAAATCTATAAAATAAAAATAGAAAATTAAAAGTCGCCTTACTAAACCTTAATTCTTATATTAAAGATTCTGAGGAAGATAGGCCCCCTCAAGTAAGGAGCGCTTACATGTATTAAGATTATAATAAACTTACATACTGTTCTAGAGAAAAATGAAAATCTCTCATGCCAACTAGCACCAGATTAAGAGAACTCAATAATCAAAGGATAAAAACTTGATTTGAAGTTCACAGCAATATTTAAAATTTACATGTTTACACATTGTTTACACATAATGGCACGAATAGCTTGAGCATGTTGAAAGAACACGAAATATATAATGCTTTTACGGTAAAATTCAACAGCAAAGTTGCTGATGATTAAGAATATGTGACAATTTTAAGTTTCTCTTTGGCACAACATACTACTAATACTACTACTAATTATAATAATAATAAGAGCCGCGCCATGACAAAACCAACATAATGCGTTTGCGACCAGCATGGATCTAGACCAGCCTGCGCATCCACGCATTCTGATCAGGATACATGCTGTTCGCTTACAAACACTATAACAAGTAGAGAAACTGATAGCAAACAGCAAGGACCCTGATCAGACTGCGTGGATGCGCAGGCTGGTCTAGATCCATGCAGGTCGCAGACGCATAATGTTGGTTTCGTTATGGCGCTGCTCTTAATACTTCTGTAAGCATGGAAACTGACACAAAAGAAAAAACAATATTTATCATATCAAATCAAAAAGTATCTACATAAGGAGATTAAAACCAAATATATTATGCATATGATTTGTACAATTATGTGGAGTAATTGAAAGATCTACATTTTGTTACAGTTTGAGCTAAGTCACTCATTTAAGCAGATGTTGTGAAAACTACATACAGTGTACACTGAATACATTATACTGAAAATGAAGAACTGCAAGGTCTATACGTCTTTTGTGGCTTTTACTCTTGGTTTCAGGACTGATTTGTTTCCTGAACACATCCTTACACATTGTCTACAGTCAGTACAGATGTAGAAAGCTCACCACGAGCATATCTTTCACCCATGTATGGCACAATATCACTCTTTAAAGCACCATTAACCTTATCAGTTTTTGTATGATTGTTTATAAATGACATTAGTTTTTTGCTCATGAGCTTCTCTTCACATTCATCCAATGCCTCAGCAATACTTAGCAATGTGCCATTAGGGTTCCTCTGTTTCCAGTTATTCATTAGTTGGTACATTGCCTCTTTGATAAAAAGACATTCTTGGCGAGTGTTCTCAAAGTTAAAAGCACCTTGTCATTTGTCTCCACTAAAAATAAAGATCATTGCATGCTTATACCATTGCAAATTATTCAAAAGATGTATTATGGACCTATGGGTACGTTAAGTGTCAGAGCCTGCATTAACACTAATCTACCTTTGTTGTCAACATGTGCATATTCTGTACA